CTTCGAACGAATGCCAACTATTGGGCTCAAAAGTTTGAACACAAACCTTTCAAACACATTTTTTGTCGTTCTATCAAACACACAAGCAATGCTACTAACGACATCTTTCTACAATGGGCGGAAACTTATTCCCATACCCAATAGATGCTTGAAAGATTGCTAAAATATTGCTTATGTATATACCTATTAAGTCTTCGTTAATGAATGTATATTAGTTGTGTGTGTCTACTATCTTTTTATTACTTTAGAAATCGTATTATATGCTATTATTACTTAGGAATAAGAGTCTTCTTTATGTTTAATATTAAGCATTTAAATACTATTTAAATGCTTTTTTTTTATAATTGGAGAAATATATGTATAATATATACCTACGTATATACTTCACATACATATATACAGAGTGAATCTTAATGAATATCTCAACGTTTTACCATGGAAGTAAATTACCGACTGCAACACGTAAGAGAGAATGGCGGTTGGGGCAGAATTTCCCACTTCACTCCTTCCAAGTATTTCTTGACCGGTTTTGCAACGTGTGACCTAGCGTTGTCATGTAACAGAATCAGCTTGTTGTGCCTATTGTCCCATTCCGGTCGTTTTTCTTTCAAAGCTTGGTTTAAACGTATCAGTTGTAGTCGATTATGTATATACCTATTAAGTCTTCGTTAATGAATGTATATTAGTTGTGTGTGTCTACTATCTTTTTATTACTTTAGAAATCGTATTATATGCTATTATTACTTAGGAATAAGAGTCTTCTTTATGTTTAATATTAAGCATTTAAATACTATTTAAATGCTTTTTTTTTATAATTGGAGAAATATATGTATAATATATACCTACGTATATACTTCACATACATATATACAGAGTGAATCTTAATGAATATCTCAACGTTTTACCATGGAAGTAAATTACCGACTGCAACACGTAAGAGAGAGTAAAATCCACATATAAGAAAGTGAAATATTCATCTCCTAGGATAAAACATGAGATATTCAACGGGTGCATTCAGAACGACTAAGCGCGCAGTGAGCGGTTGTCATTCTGAATGCACACATTAAGTTTCACTCTGCGTGCATATACAGACATATATATATACACTACTCCCGAAAAGTTTCCCGACATGGAACTTAAAATTGTATAATATTCAGGTCACCGTAACTCAGTAAAAAATCATCGCAAACAAAAAAATAAAAAAGCACCTTAAAGTTTAAAACTTATACTTTAGTATACTTTTGACCGCTTTTCAAACAAATTTTGTTTTTACAGTTTTGTATCGTAACAAATATCACGTTGTTATATTTCTTAAAATTATATATATTTTAACAGTGCGCAGTTTGATAAAGTTTTTTTTTCAATATTTTTGTTCAATATTTTTGAGAAACAGTACAAAGATTTACCTCCAAAATGCGTTTTCAAAAATTTTCTTATGACTTTTCTTGACTGAATTACGCGTCATTGAAGTTAAACCTGCATAGCTCATAACCAACATTAAAATTCGGTGAAATATCATCGCAAAAAATTAAAAAATCATTTTGAAGCTCTAAGTTTGTACTTTAACAAGCTTCTGATCGTTTTTAAATTTAATTCTAAGAATTGAGAAGATAAAAAATTTTCGTGATAATTTTTTATCAAATTTTACCGTTGATTATTTAGCAATGTAAGTTTAACTTCAATGTTGCGTAATTCAGTCAAGAAAAATCATAAGAATTTTTTTTTTAAATTCCATTTTGGAAGTAAATCTTTGTACTGTTTTTCAAAAATATTGAATTTTTTGAAAAAAAACTTTTTATCAAACTGCGCACTATAAAATGTACGTAATTTTAAGAAATACAACAACGTGATATTTGTTGCGATACAAAACTGTAAAGACAAAATTTTTTTTAAAAGCAATCAAAAGCATACTAAAGTATAATTTTCAAGCTTTAAAATGCTATTTTATTTCTTTGTCTGCGATGACTTTTTACCGAGTTACGGTGACGTGAATATTATACAATTTTAAGTTCTATGTCCGGAAACTTTTTGGGGGTAGTGTATATCGTAGGGTTAAATGAACTATTGCATCGTGTGTTCAGCGATTAAAAAATATATATAATGTTTATCGTATATTTATATGCAGAGTGGAGTAATAACTTTCATCTGAAATTTCTTTTATTTTTAGAGATATAAAAATATGAAGATTGTATAGTATTAAGTCGATTATAATATGCTAATAATAATTTTTCTATGAGTGAAGAAGCTTCGAAGAATTTAAGGTCGTCTCTTTTTTTGTATATTATATGATTTTTTACATAATTGATTTTTCTTATTCTGCATATAAATGTATATTAAAGTAGAATTATCAAAAAATTAATAGTTTATGAGATATTTTATATTTTATTCTGACATATTTTGAAAGTACAAACTATTTAGTCTCAAACTATTTAGTTTTGATAACTGTATCTTAATACTTTTATGCACAGAATTATGAGATAAATCACTTGGTGTAAAGAAAATTAGTTTCTCTTAAAAAGAAATTTATGCAATTTGCAACATACATTATATACTTATTTTGAAAAACAACAATGCATTTTATTTACACCAGTTGATTCATTTCATCATTTGGTATACAAAAATGTTAAGGTATAATTGTCAAAAAATTAATAATAAAAATTAATAAAATTTACGAGATATTTTATCAATATTTTATATTAAAATGTGCTAAAAATGGAGGTTAATGCATTTTCGAAGCGTTTTCACTCAGAAAAATTATTACTTGTTATTATAACTCTCTTGATACTATACATAACTTTCGTAATTAAAATATTTTCATATCTCTAAAAGTAGTGGAGGTACTTTAGGTGGACAAAGCTTCATCCTGTATATTTAACAGCAGACTTCTTCTATCTGGAATTGCATATTATATAATAAGATATATTGATAATTTATACTATTTTCAGGTGGAAGTCTTTCCGATTCAGTGTGTATTTGCAACGATGCAGTTAACAGCGAATTACAAAATGATACAAATACTATACTGGAATTTAACAGACATGTGGAACCATCCGACTAGATTTTTGTAGGGTCTTAATATTTTAAATAAGGTATGAATGTATTGTTACGAATGTACAGTATGTGTGATTCTATCAAACATAAATATTTGTTTTTATGATGTAAAATGTTATTAATGCAAAGATACATGTATTATGTGCAGAATGTATATTTGCAAAGAAAATTTTCATATAATCATAGTAAAGAGTACCCTCAGAGAGATAGTCGCGAGTTACCACCGTTAATAATGTACAGTACGATAGATTTGCAAACAATGAAGCAAATAATGAATTAGAGTTTGGATGAAAAAAAAAGAGAGATGCATTAAATTGTACAATATTTTTAAATGTTATATTTTTTAACTCGTGTTGCAAATTTATGTAATGTATTACGAAATCATCACATAATAGGCTCAAATTGTATAAATAATCTACACGATAAGGTTGTGTCGATAAATAATTTAGATAGTGTAAAAGATATACATATAAATATTAATTGAGTATAACACTGACTTTAATTTATCGATATTTTCGTACTCTGCTTTAGCATTAAACTAAAAATATTAATATTTGTATGATTTCTCAAAAGATATTTTCAACAATACTATATAAATCTAATTTTTTTTATATATAAAGGTTGTAGCAATGATTATTATTACAGTTTGAATAAGTCAAAGACATGTGTAGATATAAATATTTGAATATAATCATAAGCATAATATTGTATTTTTTCTTGAAACGTTAGAATATATATTTGGACATTTTTTAGAAACAAAATATATATTACAATTTTTTATAATATATGAATTATATTATAATATATTACCTAATAATACCAAATATAATTAATGTAAATATTATAAAACATTTCAGAATTAACTATCTTTTTCTTCCAGTGATATAAAATATTGATTCTTTCCATATTTTTTAATAAATAAGTCTCAATATTTATATCTATAATCTCTTTATAAGGCATGTTTGAAATATTTATATCTATATATACATATGTGTATGTATATGTGTGTGTATATATATATATATATATACATATATGTATACACATATATATATTATTAAACAAAAATATAATATTCTGTTATGTAAAATGCATCTCTTAAGATATTAAAAGTTATAAATAAAATCTATAAAAGAAATGTGTATACATATATATATATATATGTTTAAATTGATAAAGTTGATTCTTGATTAAGTAAAATTATAAAATTTATATTGAATTATTAACTTTGTTTTGGAAAATTGAAAAATATGTATCTTATTAAACTAGACATGACCGAAAAAATATAATTATTGCAAGTTTTTATTCAAATTGTATTAGATAATATTTACAGCTAAGCAAACCGTATAATAAAAGTTGAACCACATGCATTTTATATAGCGCAAGATAATAGTACTTATGTATAAAATAATAAGCAGAATTTTTGTGTGTGTGCGTGCGTGCGTGTGTGTGCGCGCGTGCGTGTGTGTGGATTATAGAATTAATCCACATTTGATGATATTTTGATTATAAAATAATTGTATTTCGTTACACACACATATATTATGCAAATAAATTCTTTTGTATTCACATATGTGTAATAATATAACAGTTATGTATTTCAAGATGTCTAAGAGAAGAAAAATCTATTTCTTGAATCCATCTCGTGAATAATAATTGTTATTTATATACAAATATTTTTTTAATCATATTGTTTTATTTTTTAGAATATAAAGATGAATATATAATATAAAGAAACGATAAGAAAAAACAATTTAAAATCAATTTTTGTTTTTGAAAATTAGCAATATATTTTATAGAAGAAATTTCAATTAGTTTTAAAAAATATATCTTTCAAAAAAGAATCTTTAACAAAATATATCTTCAAAAAGAATCTTTAAAAAAATATATTTATTTCGTCTTCTTTCGTACTAATTTGTGAATATTATATTAATAGATTTTTTTCACAGATATGTTATGTTAACCTTAGATTGTTTGATCCTTTTCTTGAATCACCTTGTATATGCTGAATACATTGCAGCATCGTGTAACGTGTACCTACAGGTCGCGGTTGCGTCACAAATAAGCAGGCGAAGCTGGTATTTTTAATGGGAAGTCGAAGACTGCCTGAATAGAATGAGCTATCGGAGAGGGAAGCGACACTCGGTTTCTTTGATCAATAATGAAACTTCTCTTCGCCTTTCTTCTCTCTCTCTCTCTCTCTCTCTCTCTCTCTCTCTCTCTCTCTCTTTCTGGTTCCTTTTCTTTCTTCTCTCTTTTTCGTTGTCTTTGCTCTTTTTCTATTGGTCTCTCGCTTTCTCACCCTTACGCATCTCCCTAGTCGCTGTCTTATCTTATACATTTTTAACCCTTACTTCGGCCCCCGCATAGACAAGGAGAAAGACTCAAAGCGAGAGAGCCAAGTTTTAACAACCCTTAAGATGTACCCCCAAGGCCACCGGTCCTCTTTCCTCTAGATAATCCACTCGACAATCCATTCGCGCGTGAGCCTCTATGGAAAAGGACTTGGTAGCCTGCATACTTCAAGGAGTGGCTTCGAATACGAAGAAACGAGGAATTTGGGTCTCCAAGACTTCTTTAGAAGTCAATATAAGAATATTAAGGCTTCATTTAATACAGGATAAGTATATTGCATTTATCGAAAACTCTTTTAGATATTTCTTGGTGCGTTCCCAATCGATTTAATCTTAAGAAAAAATTGAGGAATAAATGTTATTCTTCACATACTTTTCCGACTTTAAATAATCACTTTAGCAAGTAATATTCACATAGTAAAGTTTTTGTTAAAGTAAGCTTCGAAAAATATAATTTTGCTGAGTCTATTAATTATGTATATTCTTAAAGTGAAATTTCTCAAACATTTAATTTTCTACATTAAAGATTTCCGTAATTTCAAGAAGAAATCGATTTTAAATTGATTAAAGAATTTCTCAATTAAAATCTGATGAGAACATTCTGTGATTATAATGTGATAAGATTAAAATAAGATATCTGTGTGTAGATATTTAAAAACGATGATAATTTTGATTAATTTGATTATGGAATATGTTTGTTAAATAAATTTAATTATAACATTTTTGCAAAACATTTATTTTGTACATATAAAGATTTAAATTTAATGTGTGTCAAGAGTCTTTAATTTTTATCTTTTAGTAAAAAAAATAGTGAAGTATTACGAATAAAGTTAATAGGAATTATTATAAATTAATATGTAATGTAAAAATGTAATATAAGTATATCCAATGTATAAAATAATAATATAGAATATCGATATTTGTGTAACTACAATTTTTCAAACTTTCGCTCGTTGCAAGCAAAGCTATCGAGCAAGGTCAACTTTTCGTTGTCCTTTCACAATTTTTCTGAACAACCCCATGTCCGATGATGGGGACAGTGGAACATGAAACAACGTCGAGAGGGAATATCAGAGTGAGGCTGGCACAAAGAAAAGCGCGGGGGCGGAGGATGAGGAAAGACTGCCGCGGTACGGGATAATGCTTAACAAGCCGACTTGAAAGGACAGCCGCCATTTTGAGTCAATACTTGAAAGTCTTTGCTCATTAAGAATATTTTACTTCTACCTTCCACACGCTACGCAACCGACATCGCTGTTGCCTCCCTATAACCGACGCCATCTCCGCTCTTCTTTCTCGCCCCCGCGCGGAGGACTTTCTTTTTCTTCTCGTCCTCTCTTGCCCTCGGCTTCGAGAGTCGTTTTCCTCCTCCTCCTTCTCCTCCTCCTGCTTTTCTTCCTCATCTTCCTCCTTCACCTCGCGCAGGACGGCTGCACCCTCGAAGATGGAAGTTATTTACGCGGCACTCGGAGCACGCTTCACCGTCGCGACCCCGTAGCCGATCCTCATCCCCGACGTTTCGATCTGGTCTCCCCTTTGCCACGCTAACACGGTGCCCCCGCCTCATCGCCCTCGCCCTCGCCCTCATCAGGCATGCAGCAGCCACTGGGCAAGGAAGGGTGGCCAGCACCAACCCCCCATCCCCGTTCTCTCGACGATCGAGGGATGGAGAAATCTCCGACTTCGCTATGGGGTCCACCTTCGCGCACCCTTCCAGCAACGATGGGTAAACACCGTCCCATCTCGCGGCGTTTTTCCTAATTCCTACCCAATTTCGCTTTTAGCATTTCAATTTCTACCTTCCTCCCTCTCTTTCCTCTTATTTTCCCTGTCCGCCGCGTCGGAATGACGGATTATAGTCGAACGAGCGAGGGCTCGATAGGGAAGAACCCTGTGGACGGAATAGATGAGCGAAAATGACGAATAGCTGCATACGATGGATGAATATTTATCACGAATCTAGGACAAGTCTTTCCAAATTTTAACGTAATAGTATATTTTCTCTGTTGATAATAATGATCATGTGCACTATTACATTGTACTTGCATGACAAACGATTCCCCTATTTTACAACTTTTGACTTTTATATACGAAATAGTCACGTGGAAAAAATGATAATTTCTCATCTAATAAATCCTTGTTACAAATGTAAAACACACAATTATATTTGGAAATATTTTCAATATAAAAATATAAGATAGTTGCTATTTATGTGAATCTAGAATAAGTAACTTTAAATTCCTCAAATACGTACAAAAATGTTGATATATTATTAATATTATAGATACGTAACGTGTACTATTAAAAATCATATATATCTAATAAGTTCACAGAACAGTTTTGCTTAAGTATCTAAAATTTTATCTAAATATAGATTGGAAAATAATTTTATTAGATCATCAAAATAATTACGTAGGTCGTAGAATGTTCAATGTTTGCAGTTATCTACATATATAAAATAATGTAGATACTTATTTGAATGAAGAAATAGTTTCATCTAATCTTTGTCTAGATTATCAGAATATGTACGTATTATCTCCATCTTTATTTTAAATAGAAGAGATTTTATCTTTTTTCAAAAATGGAGATTTGATAAAGCCAAGAAACGAGCATTAATATATTTTTTTAATTTGTTAGTGTGTGGTAAATTTAATATGTGTCGACGTAGGATTTTGAAGCATCTCTTTTTTTTTATAAACCGGACATTTATGTTTAATATTGTTAGATTATGCTGTCCAGTATCTGTAATTTTGATATATCATAAACATAAACTTACTATGTGTCAGTGTGTGTTGGCGCCTTCTTTTTTATCTACATTAATAAAAGAAACTCTCTACATTGAAGTAATTTTGTTTAGGACATAAAGAATTAAATTTTTACTTTTTTAAGTTAAACAGATTTTTTTCAAGTATAAAGCTCGATCTACGTAAAGGGCCATCTACATAAGCCGCAAACGCAGAACGCAGTTCGCAGACGCATTTGCGACAGCCAATCAGAAGCGTCAATGGTACTAATAACAGCTTTTCATTGGCTGTCGCA